CAGACCAGGTGGTTTTGCAGTGCCACAGCCGCTGCGGTGTCCCCAGGCACCAAGCTGTGGGGCAGCCAGGGTGGGCATGGGCTGAGCAGCCGGCTCTGGAGAAGTGATGTGCCAGCAATAAGTACTGTGTCCTTCTGCACCCAAACACCCGGCGTGCTCGTGCACACGGGTCACCCAATGGCTAATCACCAGTTAAGTTTCACGTTGGCTGTTCATTGCATGAATCTTTTATTTCCATAATTCCTATTGAAATTATTTGAGGAATGGTTTCTGTTCATTTTAATCAGATTTGGAAGGGGAGAGAGAGACTTGATAACCTTTAATCAGAGTCCCAATCTCTTTGTAACACTGCAGAAAGCTTATGAATTTCACTTGAAGGTGGTGGGCATCACTAGCCTTGTTGTGCCATTTCTTAACTCCTGTATAACATATGGTCTTTTAGGTGTATAGGCTCATGCAGATAGACACTATACCTCTAAACGGCTGGTACAAAATATCTAAATAGATAACAGATGCGCAATGGCACTATAGACTGGATGTATTATGGCCCCAAACCATTATCACACCCCTCGCAGTTGCATTTTATTTTTTTCACCTGCTCCTGTGTAGTACACCTGTGACTTGTTGGCAGAGAATGTCGTTGCAGTGTGGGAGACTCCCAGCTTGACTGCCTGGCTTGGAGCTTTGCTCCATCATGTGCTGCTTTTTTGTGTGTGTTTTTTCTCTCAATCTTTATATAGCTTGTAAGAGTTCTTTGAACTGCTGTAAGTGATCATCTTTCAAGCCTGATGCCTTCCTTCTTTGACACAGTGCTCTGAAAATGGAGATTGTCATGCCAGGGTTTTCATAATAATGCATGTAGAAAAACAGAGGAATATTCATTGTAGATGTCCTGCACAAATGGCTTGATCCTCATCCAGAGGGCAGGCAGGGGGTGTCTCCAGGGAAGATCTGGAGAGAAATCGGTATCTACATGAACAATAATCAAGCATTCTTTGAAATCTTTTCATTTCCTGCAAAACCTGTCACCCAGTTCCTTGGTCTCAGACACTTCTGCAAATGGTTCATTTGGGGATTGTGCAGCCAGTAGAAAATTCCACTTAAACACTGCGACAGCCCTGAGGCTCGGGTTAGTTGCATTTCTCCCACTGACGTGGCTAATAGAATTACTATCCATTTTGCATGATTATTAAGAAAAGGAAAAAAGAAATTTTCCAACCTTGTCCTATAAATAAGCAGTGACTTACTTGATCTTGACAGGTGACTTAGTGCTGCTGTAGAGTTTTCCAGCTGCAATAATGTCTCAGAATGATGTATTCAGTGGGGTATCAGCTGTGAGCCATGTGTCAACCAGGGGGCCTAACAGGAGCTGTGAAGAATCATTTTTAACGTTCAGCTTCCGAATTATGTCCTGCCTCCTGCCAGCCCCCAAATGCATATGTGTATGGATGGCCTTGTGAGCAGGTAGGCATGTGCAAACACACACACAAGCACGCCTGGAGAGGCTTTATTTTTGTGGCTGCTCTATTTTCCTTTGGAAATCATCATTAAGATTTTTTTTTTTTCCCAACTGTGACTTCTAGAGTTGAAAAATCACGCCTGAGCTGTTTCCTGCCAGCCCACCCTCCTGCTGGAAAGGTGGGTGAAGTTTCCTTAGGCTACTTGGGTAGAAGCACTCTGGTAGTATCATACGTTTCAAAATGTTGGCTCACTTCTGGCCTTTATGGTTTCATTTAGCCGCCTGGAACAGCCCAGTGTATCATCGGGGTGAAAGCTGTTTCTGCTAAGGCACAGGGCATTCTCAATGCCAGGATTTATTAATTTTTCAATTGCTCTGAAAGTCTGGTCAGCAGGGGCATTTTCTTTGTCTGTGAGCACACATAGAGGTGCCTAACGTTAAAGTTATTTGATAAAGCATGAGTTAAATATGCAAAACACACGTGTGAGAGAAGAGACAAGCACGGAACGTCTCGGACACTTTTTGGCATCTGCAAAGCACAATTCCAATAAGCTGCACACGCACGGGGCGGAGGGAGTAGAAGCAAGAAGATTAGACGTGATGGTTGCTAGTAATAGGAGACAGGTTGCCAGACTGTTTTTGGAAAGCAGGTTTGTGTGGTCTGGAATACATTTTAATAGGTGAGAAGCCTATACTGGTTGCAGAGGATATGGACAGGCTTTCGTGGGTCTTCTGAATACACCCCAGTGGTGGTTACGCAGTATTTGCACGTGCAGGAACCTGGTGGTCTGGAGCATTCACCAGCGCTTGGGTGTGCAGGACTGTAGGCATTTGTGCGGGTGGCTTGTGCAGGATCTGCTTTCTGAAAGGCGGGGGGATTTGGTGCATACAGACTCTTGTGTCTGTAGGAATTAGATGTGTTTGTGAGGTCCTTTATAAAATGTGGCTCTATTTATTTACTGCTTGGTCCAGGGGCTAGTCAGCATATTGATTCCCAGTAATGCATACAAAAGGAATAAATGGTACGTTCCCAAGATATTAAGACAAAACCAAGATTTGCATATGAAAAATGTGTATTTTATTTTTTATAACTGATAGCCCTGCAGCTGGTTTCTTAGCTCCTACCTGACCCAGCTCTGAATGGCTGCAGGATTTGAGTACAATCTGTTTGTTTCTTTGTGTAAACTCTGCTCACAAACCCAGTATATTCATTGTATTAGGAGTCTTCAGAACATATTATTAACCTATGTTTGAGGAGGGAGGGCTCACAATGAAAGCTTCATTATCAGATTTAGAGCCACATACCATTCCTTTATTGACCTGCCTGGTGTAATCAATGCAGCAGCCACACAAGTTTGAAATCATGTTCCCTGACTGTAGACTGTGCGTCATGCATCTAGTGCTGATTGTGCATTATCTTTTAAATGACACTGCCTAAATAAGTATGGATTTGTCTACCACGAATAGCCCTTCTTTCAATTTGAAGACGGTAAACCTTTCGCTTTTTTAATTGATATTCAGGATGACCTAAAAATAGAACTGTAATGAAGTGCATAAGAAATGGCCATTGTTAAAATGCCGAGGAGTGTGTCTGAGCACAGAGAATGGCCTGTGTATTCTTTCACATTTTCATGCTTTCCCAGTCAGGTCTGGTGGACAAGCTTCTTGTGCTGCCGTTGTGTTTATAGGGCTCCATCCATCCTCTTCCGTAAAGTCATTATTTGACTGAAGAGTAACATCCAGCGCTGCAGAAGGTCATTCCTTCTTACGGCCAGGAAAATTTCCATGTATAGCGAAGTAAATAGCCATTGGATTTTATGCTTGGTGATGTTAAATTGTCTAAAAGCAAAGTAGTTTCAACTGTCAATTCGCTTGACATTATTCAAGTATAACGCTTTATCCCCTGATAAGCTTTCCAGGTCTTTGCATGGGACTTCTTTTTTTTTTCATTCTGAAATATTTAGCGTCATAGAATGGGTCGTGCTCAGAGGGCTACTGGTACGCTAAATAAGGACCAGTTATTTTGCAATTTCGTCAGTCACTTGTATTTAATTTCACAAGGGCTCCTTTCAGGTGTGTGGCAGCTATGGTGCTTCTGCTGCCTCTCTAACCTTCTGGCGTGTTAAAGCCTGACCGTTACTGTGCGCAGTTTCCTTGCAGCCCGCCCGCGCCACAATATCGCAGATAACTTTTGCCATGATTTAGGAACTCAGCAGCGCTTCTGACACCTGGTGGTCACTTTTTGGGAGTGCACAGTCCAGAAATGCTCCTGCCTGCAAATGGGGCCACCGCCGCGTGGCCCCGCGCATCGTGGGCCGCCCATTAGCTCTTTCTGCAGCCGGTTTTCATTAGGGAGACATCATCTCTGGATAAAATGGAGGATCATGCTTTTTCCTGATCGAGATGTAACTGTGGAGAGTGTAGAAGGACCAGATGATTTATGAAAAGTTAACATATCTTTATTTTAAAGCTTAATCATTGTAAATAAATAATTAGATTCAAAATTCACTTTGTGTTTAAAAACTTATTCTTCAAGCTGGCGGACTTGCCCAGCTCTGTTATTAGGCAGATGGAGACTAGTGTAAATTGCCTAGGCTTGAAATAATGCAAATGGATTTTTATATTTGGGGATGCTGGGGGCCCAGCTCAAGAAAAGCTCATCATGAAGCACATCTTTAGTTGCTCAAATAGTTGAATAGTCATACAAATAAAGCTGAGCTTATATGTAGGACTGGAGTTTCAGTCAGCACACAAAATATAGGTGAATTGGTACTGCTCTAAAAATAAGCATCCAAGGTCGGCTTCACGTTTTATTGGCTCCTGCACAAAATGGCAAGACAGGTCAGCGTCCTCTGATGCGAGATACTGTGATGACATGAGGCTATTACAAATCTACCAAAAGGAAAAAAGGGAACAAAAAAGACTCTAAACTGCTGAAAGAAATGTGTAGAGCAAAGTCTATTCTTTAAAGAGATTTAACTTCTGGGTTACATGTCCAGCCTTTTTCTGCTGGGTGTATTACCCCTGTGCCTGAACTGGTGGTTCAGCTGTTATTGCCGAAGTATTTCTTGGACTGAGAAGTGTGTGTCACAATCTGGTGTCTCTTGCTGCCAGTACTTGCACCCGGTACTAGTGAGAATAAAGGAGTAAAATATGGCAAGGGTTCCCACCGTGATTCAGATTTTTTTTTTTAATTGTCACAGTTAAGGGAATCCCTAAAGGCAGTTTTTACCCATGAAGTGTTACCACTTTCTTTATCTGTATTGAAAGAGGAAAAAAAAAAGAAACCCTCATGGCTGTACTTGGCTTGTAGCATTTTTTTTCTAAGTTCATGCCAGCATTAACAGATCTGTCAGAACAAAGCAAATGTGTCATATTGGCAGCTGTTACTTATGAGTATTTTTTCTTTATTGCATTTTGTTTTGTAGTAATTGAGAAGCTTTTATGTCGAGCTCTGCATAAATGGTACTGAGTAGGAGGGTATGGGCATGCTTTCTATTATTCTGCCCCTCATGCATGTCTCCTTTTTTCGTCTTTCCAGAACCACACATTGAGCCAGCACGCACAGTGAGCTACTGGCACTACAGGACACCTCTCTGCAGAAGACTTGACGGTGGCACAGTGGGGAGGACCATTTGAACATTACATCCAATCAAAGTGTCATTTGCAACCCAGATGTAAAACTCTAATGATTTGGCCATGAGGCGCTGCTATTATAAGCAGCTGGAAATGAATATTAATGGAAGAGATTAAAAGTATTCCATGCTCAGTATTTTTTATTGTCCTGCTTCAGCTAGTGTACTTTAGAGCTTCTGCTTCTGACTGAATTTATAGTGTTAGATAAATCTGCTTTGATGCTGTTGCCCTTTGTTGCTTCTTGTATTATATTGATAGTTAAAGATTAGGTGTGATTTTTTTTTTTCTTTTTTGTTAACTGCTTTTTAATTGCAGTTTTAGGTAACTGTGCATTGTGATGTGATTGCTTGGCTATTGTCTGACTATTTCTTTTTAATTTTTTAATTAAAGACTAATGCTTTGATTGGATTTGCCAGTTCACCGGACAGTGATTAAACCTATGTAATGAATATAATCGGTTTCAGTGCAACTGGATGGTCTGCTTTATAAATGTGACTTAATCTGATTGCAATAACTAGTACAGTTCAATAAAGGGAATACATGAGCTTAGCGTCAGCGGTTGTCTGTCTGTCAGTACACGCTGCATCACCGCTGCCGGCTGATGTGTGTAAATCACAAAGTGATGGCTCACCTGATGGCGGAGAGCGTTCTGTGCCCCAGGAGGAAGGAAGATTGGGAGAAAGCAAAAGCTGCTTCCCTGCCTCTGATGTTATGCTCTCTGCTGGACGCACCTCCCAGGCTCCCATGGTAGGTTGAAGTGAGGTAAGAACATCCCCTTGTGAACCTGGGCATGAAAAGGCGTTGCTGGCTTATAATGCTCTTAAATTTTACTCAAGTCAACAAGAATGGAGGGGACCTGTCTATAGCTGCCCTTGACCCTATCTCTGTGCTTCTTTGTTTCAATACAAAAAAACAGCTTTCTGGATTGTATACAAATGCGGAAATATTGGATCAGGCCTCGGGGACCCTGGTAGGAGACTGTGTATTTCAAGCACGTGGACTTCTAGGCCCACAGGTATTGTAGCTCTATGTAACTGCCGTACTTCTGACACTTGAAACTGCCATCACGCAGCCTAACAGAGCTAATTAGCAGACTTGTTTTTTTTTTTTCTTTTTAGACATATCCTATGGTAATGAGTTAAATTACACCTCCAGTCAGAGAAACAGTCATTTTAAGGACCATGGACACCTTTGGAAAGTTAGTGAGATGCAGTTCTCATGGTATCTCCTGCTTGAATGAATCATAATCATCATGAAAGATGTTTAGCAGTTGTGACAGCTGAAATGATGTGGTTACCCATTCCCACGATGTACAAGGCTTTGCAAGACTGTGGCACAGGAACATGCACAGTTAGAGCCTTTCAAAATCACTGCACTGAACTAGAGCACAACTGGTTGTCATTGTACTGTGTCTGGGCTTGGAGCACGTAAGTGATATTTTGTAGGCAAAACGTTTTCAAGGACATGTAGTCAATGCCCAAATTAGTTTATATAGCAAGTTTATTAACAAGTGCAAGGGCACAGCTTGTTGACACTGCAAACAGTGTTGTCAACATTTAGGTCCCTGCTGATGTTGATAGTCATGTTGCACACATATAGCTCCTTCAAGACAGTGGGACATACCGCATGTAAGGGAAGGCTACTGGGCATAACCAAGTTAGGGTCATCCCTACAGCAGGAAGCACCAGAGCAGGCGCAAGTTCTAGCTTGAGAAAAGTTTCAGCTTTCTCAAAAAAGTGAACTAACATCCCATTTGGGGCAAATGACAGATAAGGTTTTTAATCTGCCAGTTACTCTGCTGAAATAGCATTGCTTGGACAGTCAGAGTTTAGGCTCAAAATTCTGATTTGTGATAAATTTAGGAACACTA